TCAGAGTCAGACCAGACCTCCCAAGGCCTTTGTTCCTGTGGGCAGTTAGAGATGACATTCGTTGAGCCTCATCCAGCCCCAGACCTGCTAAGCTGCAGTAGTGGACGGGAGCTTCCTGGCACAGTTGGCAACCAAAGGTGAGGAGTCCGCTCTGCATGGGAATCGTTCATTAAGATGAACTGCCCTGAGGAGTTGATACAGTGAGACACAGAGAGTGGAGCTTGAGATCATGCCTGGCCCGAGTCCGCAGCCTCTCTGCTGGCTGTCGACAGGAGCCACCAGGACCTCTCACACGGCACACACTGGGATGCCAGCTTGGGCCGCTCCCTTTACCCATTTTCCCCTGATGCCCCAAACTCAAAATCCTTTTGTTAGGCTTCCTCATTCTTCTTTAAAGCTTTATTTATTTTTGTTGGAAAGTCAGGTTTTCAGAGAGGAGACAGAGAGAAAGATCTTCTGTCTGCTGGTTCACCCTCCCCAAGTGGCCACAGTGGCCGGAGTTGAGTCGATCTGAAGTCAGGATCTAGGAATTTCTTTCAGGTCTCCCACATGGGTACAGGGTCCCAAGGCTTTGGGCCATCTTCTACTGCCTTCCGAGGTCACGAGCAGGGAGCTGGAAGGGAAGTGGAGCATCCGGGACATGAATCAAAGCCCATATGGGATCCTGGAACATGCAAGGTGAGGACTTTAGCCTTTAGGCTACCGCACCAGGCCCAGGCTTCCTCATTCTTTTCCTGAAAGTTCCTTCATCTTTAGCAATGGGGTGGATCTTAATTTTTTTTTAAGTCCCTGCTTTCTTAGGAGAACTGCTTAGGACACAGTCGTGCTTTGAAGGGTTGGTTCCTAGTACTTCTGGAACTTTCTGCCACACCTCTGCTCTTGCCTACCTAGCCCATAAAACTGTTCCCAGCTTGTGTGGCTCCCTCTACTGGCCAATAATAGAGCTGTCCTCTTCTCTATTCACCATGGGTCATGAACCTGCCTTCTGCAGTTGTGGCAGAAGGTGGCCGCTTGGGTCGCCAAGCCAAACTTGCAGGACACAAAACAGAACAAGATGGGAGGCTTTATAAGGGCTTAAGCCCTTGAGGCTCTCCTTAGGGGGATTCCTTTGTGACCAATGGCATGGAGACAGGATAAGGGAATCGAAGGCTGTCTCCCCTGAGAACTGTCAAGCAAGAATCTAGAGTATACTGGAAAATTTGTTCAAAGGGCCTCATGGGGGGGGGGGTGGGCAGGGAGCCCACAGGCAGAACCCAAGCCCTAGAGGTCAGACAGGGTTGGGGAAAGCTGCAAGAGCCTGGGACAGACACTGCCCCAAGCTCTGAGCGAAGGCTCCAGAGTCTGTAGCTCAGGAAGAAATCTCTTCCCCCTGAACCTTCCCCCTACTCTGAGTTGTTCATGTGGACTCTGGAGGACCAGATCCATACCAGGCTGATTTGCAAGAGAAAAGCACACATACATGGCAAAGCCTGAAGATGTGACTCAAGCATGGGGCTTGTATGCTTTGACACATTCACAAGGGGATGAGAGGTCAGCAGTGGGCCTCTGGGCAAGGGTGGCAAATTCTAGGGATGGCACTAAGAGCTGTGTGGAGGTGTGAAAGCAGAGGAGGGTAACGGCCACTGCCGCGGGCTTGTTCATTCAGGCTCATAGAGCCGCACAGTGTGTCAGGGAAGTCCTTCTCTGGCCTGGGTAGAGGACGCTGCTCCCCAGAGAACCTGCTCACGGCCCCTCCCCTCCTGTAGTTACACCTCCTCCCCGGATTCCTGCTTCAGATCATGAGCACCCCAGTGGCATAGTCCTTTTTTTTTTTTTTTTAATGATTCATTTATTTGAAAGAGTTACAAAGGGAAAGGTGGGGAGACAGAGATCTTCCATTTGCTGGCTCACTCCCCAAATGACCATGATGACTAGGGCTGGCCTAGGCTAAAACCAGGAGCCAGAAGCTTTCTCCTGGCCTCGTATGTGGGTACAGGGACCCCAGGCCTTGGGACATCTTCTGCTGATTTTCCAGGCGCATTATCAGGAAGCTGGAGCTGAAGTGGAGTGATTGGGATTCAATCCAGCACCCATATGGGATACCAGCACTGCAGGTGGCAGCTTTATTTGTTAAGCCATAGCAGCAGCCCCCAGAGAGGCATATTCTGAGATGGCATGTCATTAACTCCTTTGATAGGAAGTGTAGATATTGAGATTTTAGGCGGGGATGGCCATGGGGGTGTGATTTAGAAGGAGCATGCTAGCAAGATCTTGGGGCTGGTGTTGTAGCACAGTGGGTTATGGCCACTGCCTGGGATGCTGGCATCTCATGTGATCGCCGCTTGCTGCTCCACTTCTGATTCAGCTCCCTGCTATTGCGCCCGGGAAAGCAGATGTCACCTTTACAGGAGACCTCGATGGAGTTCCAGGTTCCTGGCTTCAGCCTGGGTCAGCTGCACCATGGCGGCTATTTAGGAAATGAAACCAATGGATGGAAGATCTTTTTCTCTGTATCTCTCTCCCTTTCTCTGTCACTCTGCCTTTGAAATAAGCAAAATCTTTAAGAAAAAAGAAAAGATCTGAAGAAAATAAAGGATGTCACATTACATTGTGGAGCCGGTGGTTCTCTGATGAAGTCAAGTTAACTCCTTTAGCCGAGGAGTTTAGAGGTGCACAGGTGCTGGGGGAGGGAGGTGGTGTGTGTGTGCCTGGGGAGTTGAGGGGGCCAGATCCCCTGCAGCTGTGTGAATAAGGGGCGATCCTGGGCAGGAGTTCACAGGTTATAAGGGAGCAGTGCTCCGAGGACTTGCGATGTGGCAGGAGACATACTGGGAGCTTGTGCAAAGCAGCCCATCCTGGCTGCTGTGGTGGGTGTAGGCTCAGGGGACAGGGGCAGCCCATGGCAGGGGTCCAGCTGGTGGTCTGGCATTTTGTTCTAAGCCATGCCCTGACAAGGAACAGGTTTCCTGTGCAGAGCAGGCACACTCTCTCCAAGTGCTTGTTGAATGGTGTGTTAGAGAAGGTTCAGGAAAGCAGACCCCGGTCCTACTGCTCCCGAATCCCAGCCCCTTCAGTTTCTGAGATCTGAATTTGCAGTGTGGTCTGCAAAGCCGTTTCTGGGCAGTCAGGGCTGGTCTTCTGCACCTGTAGGAGTGCAAGTAGGGGACTGACCAATGGGAGTTTAAAACAAAGAGCCATTTATTTTTATTTACAAGAATTCTGGAGGATAACTGCTGGCACCGACTTGGTCAGATGATTGGGTTATGGTCGCTAGGCTTTCTTTTTTTTTTTTTTTTTCCACATAACAAAATGGCTGCTGTGGCTGCAGGCATCACTTCCTCACTCAAGGCAGGAGGAAAGAAGGGACTGGGAGGTGTTCGCCATGCCTCTTTCATCAGGAAAGCACACGTTTCCCAGAAGCCCCTGCGGATTTCTCTCTGGTTTCATTGGCCATGCTTGATCACATGGTCATGCCCAACTTTAAAGAAGGCTGGGCTAGTGAGAATTTGGATTTACAACCTTCGTAGCAGGAAGTAGCTAGAGAGTGAACCTAGGGGCTGCCATGGCTCGCCTAAGGGCTGGCTGTCCCTTCTACCGCTGGGTTTTCCTATCCGTGACCTGCCGCCTCCAAGGAACACCTGTGGGCACCATCCAGGAGAACCCCCTGGGAAGGGGCTGCTTACTTCCAGACACCCCATCTGGTTTGTCTTCAGGTAGGCCTCTCGGGGAACGGGAACCGGGAAGCCTTTATTTGGGGATCGTCCATCTTCAGCATAAGCCCCACCTGGCCAACACTTACACCGCGGCCTGGGCACGTCACATTACATTCTGGAGCCTTCCGAACTCCACTTACTGCACATGCGCACACAACATCCACACCTTATACTAGGATGGCGCACAGGGAGGGGACGCAACCTGGATCTCCGTCAGCCCACCCAGGAAGGGGTGAGAAAGGGCATCTGGCAGTGGTTCCCGCTGGAGGTGCTGGTGATGCGCCTGCTTGCCCAGCAGCCTCTCACCGTCAGCACTGTGGGTTTACAGAGCCACAGGTAGGGGCCCACTCCTCAAGCAGGAAGACGTGGTTTATTCCATGGATTCTTGAAAATGGAGCAAGTGGGAGCAGGAGGTTAGACTATCTGGGGTCTGTGAAGGAAAGGTTTTTTTTTGTTTGTTTTGTTTTTTGTTTTTTTAAGGAGACAGGTAAATTGCAGGCACTGAGCTGGCTGAGGCAGGAGTAGGGGTGGGGTCCCGGTGAGAGGTGGGGAAGAGGCAGGGGGGCCTGTGCGTGAACGATGAGGCCATGGGACCACAGCGTCTAATTGTTTTCCAAAGGTGAGAGAAAAAAGGTGAAAGTGTTTGCTCCTTTTGGCTAGAGTTGTATGGAGGGGTCTCAGCGGTAGGAAACGCAGATTGGCAATTACCCCCAATCTCTGGGGAAAACACTCGCCCCGTTGGGTAGGAGTGGAGGGATGGCCGAAGTGGGGGTGGGGGGTGCTGCACAGAGGGGCTGGGAGAAGTCCAAGCTTTCAATATGGACCACCCTGGTGGGTTCTAGCCTTGCCTCCTCCTTGGGCGCTCAACGGCCAGGCCGACTCAGGAGCCCTGTTGCAATAAGAGCCCTCGTGACTCCTAGCACGAGAAAGTTTGCGGCATGCTAGATGCAGGTGTGGTTAGGTGGGCGGGGAGAGGGGAAAAGCCGAGCCTAGGCGTGGAGGGGCGGGGATGCGTGCAAGCCCTCCGAGGCCTCCGGGAGCACCCTTCCCTGCCACTGCGGGGAGGGGAGGGGGGGACTCGTCCTGTTGCGACCCTCAAAGCGGACCCCTCTCTCCTCTTGGTGGCTTTCAAAGCAGGTGACTTGGAAGCTGAGCTCTGCTTAGCTGTCCTCACCTGACTGCTGATGCAACCCCAGGTGAGTGAAGTTCTCCGGGAGTTGGGCTGCTTTAGGCCTGCAGGGCTCCAGGTGGGAAGGCCTGGACAGAACAGCAAGCCAGAGGGGCACAGGTCCCAGTTCTGCAGGGGTGCGCGCACCTACGTGAAGGGTTACCGGCAGTGACTTCCCTTTGGGACGGGAGGAGTGCAAGCTCAGAAGGGAACAGCTGGGGCGTTCAGGGGTGGTCAGCTAAGAGGACCAGGCTGTGTGCTGGCGTGTTCTCCGGGGAGCTGGTGTGACCGCCACCGGATGCCCAAGGCTGCGGGGCCCGCCATCGCTCTACAGTGCCCGCTCTTCGCTGGTCAGCGTGGCAATCCTCCGCAGGTTTTCCTTGACTTTAATAAACTCGGGTGGATGCTCCTCTTCCTGTTCCAGGGGCTTTTCCAGCTGCGAGGGAGAGAGAAGCAGCAGTGGAAAAGTGGGTTTTTAGGACCCTGGGGTTTGTTCTAAGCCATGAGACGGAACGGGCTGGGAGGGCGCAGTGAGGTTCAGCTTGTGAAGCCTAGTACACTCCACTGACCTCATCCTATCCTCGCCCCCCCCCCCCCAGGTGGCAGCCACCTGGCTCCTCAGGGGCTGTTGTGAGTGTGACATCAGAAGTGCCTTGTGGCACCTTGGGCCAAAGAGGAAATTAAGGTTCAGAGAGGGAAAAGCACTGCTCCAAGGTTCAAGTGGCAGAGCTGGAGCGTTGTGCTCCTTTTGCTAACCCCTCCCCCTCACTTGCCGGCTCTGGGGGGGTGGGGGGGCCATGCACAGGTGCACTCAGGCCTGGGGCCTGCCCCTCCCCGCCCCTCCCCATCTCTCTCACCTGGTTCAGCCTCTGCTGCCTTCTCAGCAGCTCCTGCTCGAAGGGGCACTGCAGCCGCTTGGCCTCCTGCTCCTCCTTCTTCTTCTTGATGAGCTGGTTCCGCCGGCGATGCTCCAGCACCCGCTGCAGCTCGGGCTTGCTGTCCACACCCAGGCCCCTGCGGGGTGGGGGCAGAGCGTCAGGAGACCCTCCCCCCCCCCCAGCTTTGCCCTCCTGCCTTGCCCAGGCTCAAAGCTACACCTGGGAGTGGATGCCAGCTCCACCACGGTCTCATGCCATCCTCCTGGCAGGCCTCGGGGGTGGAACTTTTCACTGTCCTGTGTTAGAGAAGGGAAGAGGGGCTGGCTCAGCTGAAGACACAGGTCTGAGCCCCCGCCACCGAGGGGCTCAGGGATTGTTTGAACCCATCTGTTTGACTGCAGAGACGAGGCTTGAAGTGACAGGCCGAGAAAGAGAGCACTCCCCTTCACAGATTCACTCCCAACATGTCTGTGATGGCCAGGACTGGACACGGGATCCAAATCTCCCATGCGGGGGCCAGAGCTGTCACCTGCAGTCTCCCAGGGGCTGTGCTAGCAGGAAGCTGAGTCAGAAGCCACTACTGTGGGCATCCTCTCCATTGAGCCAAACATACGACACTGGTTACCTTTTCTAATACATCTCGGGCGGGCTGGCGTCTTTTAGAAGATTTTGGTTACTTGTTTCTACCTAACCCTTGGCAGCCTGTGCAGGCTCTACTTCTGTCAGCAGCGGACAAGAGCTTCTGCTTCTCCCTTCCTACCACTAGCCAGTCTTTTATCTTTTGGAGTCTGGTAGCTAAGGAACAGCACGGGTGTGGGGGGTGTGCTGCATTGTGGCCCAGGGCGTTAGGCGGCTGCTTGTGACATTGTCATTCCATGTTAGGCTGCTGGTTCGAGGCCCAGCTGCTCTACTTCGGAGGCAGCTCCCTGCTGAGTGCCTGGATGAGTGCTTGGGGTCCTGGCACCTGTCTTCCCATTGGGGAGACCCTGAAGATGCTGCAGGCCCCTGGCTTTGGCCTGGCCCAGTCCTGCCTATTGCAGCCATTCGATGAGCAAACCAGCCAATGGAAGAGCTTTCCTGTCTTTCAGCCAAATAAATTAAGTCTTAAGTATTTGATTTTCATTTATTTCTTCACAAAGAATAGGCTTTGGAAGGTTCAGGGACTACTAGTGCTTGCTCTTTTGTGACTCAACTGTACATGCTTTCTGTTTATTTGTATTTTCCTTGTGCACCTTTTTAAGGCTTTATTTTTACCTGAAAAGTGGAGTCTGAGGAGACAGAGTAAAATCTTCCATCTGCTGGTTCACTCCCCAGTGATCCCACCAGCCAGAGCTGAGCCCATCTGAAGCCAGGAGCCTGACATTTCATCCAGGTCTTCCACGTGTGTGCAGAGGCCCAAACACTTAGGCTATGTTTTGCTGGTTTCTCAGGCTATTACTAGGGCGCTAGATCAGAAGTAGAGCAACTGGGACTCGAACCACTGCCCATATTGGATGCTGACGCTGCAGGTGGAGGCTTAACTTGCTGTGCCATGATGCTAGCCCATCATGTATTTTTAAGAGATCTGGTTTTACTACTTTTATTTCCCTGCATATATAACTTTTCAATGTAATCTATTTATATTGCTTCTGAATTTGATAATGGGAATAATTTTGATATTAAAGAGGATGCCTCTGAAAGGCAACCAGAGGAAATTCTCATGTAATAATGCTGAGTGAAGAAAACTGCAACCAACAGGGTCCAAAGGGATGTCCACTACAACATTGGCCACAACTGAAAACATAACAGATCTCAACCGGCTCCAGTACCACAACCGGCCAGCAGAGGGAGCAGCAAAGACGCTGCTGCGTTCCTCCTGGTTCTGCAGCGCCCAGGCCACCCTTTCCAACAGTTGCAGAGTCCCTGCCCTGCTGCCACTTCTTTGCCCCTGGAGCTCCTCTTTCTGCTCTTAATCTGGGCCTTCTGCTTCCTGCTTTCACCTTCCAGTTCGGCAAGTGCACCCCTCCCAAGCCAAATCTAACCATATCATGTGCTGCTTCTGCTGAAAGCTTTTCCCACTCCAGAGTTCTCCCAGGCTGTCCCCTCAGCCTCTCCCCAGGCCTCACTGAACTGCTTGTGTGTCCTGCCCGTTGCTCATGCTAGTCCCTATGCCATGCAATGCCCACCTCCTAGCCTGGCTCACTCTTCTCTTGCATGACATTATTTTGGATTGCTCTGGGGTTCCAGGCCTAGTTGTGCCCTGTCAAAGCCCCACTTGATGCAGACCCCATAGAGGAGCAGTCGGCAGTCCTGGCTCCCCTCCTGATTCTGCCTTCCTGTCAGTGTGCAGCCCAGGAGCTAGCAGGTGATGATTTATGTACTCCGGTCCCTGTCACTCCTGTGGGACTCCTGGGTTGAGTTCCTGGCTCCTGGTTTCGGCCTGGTCCATCTCCGGCTGTTGTGGGCATTTGGGTTTCTATCACTCACTCTGCCCCCGATATAAGTTAAGAAGCTCTTATCTCCTGCCCGCTTGTGCATGCAGCTCCTCTGTAGATGCAGGAACTGAGTCCTACTCCTTGTTGTGCTGCTAGGCCTGGGTGCTCTCTGAGTGCTCGGGATGGTTGGGTGGGCATCCGGGGCTTGGTGGGCCTCTCGGAGTCTGTGCTGACCACTAGGGGCGTCCTTTCCCACCCTGAGCCTGGATGAACCCAGAGTGAAGCTGGGCTGCCTTGCATTGGGGCACCTGTTCCAGCCCAGCCAGGGCAGCCCAGTGCTGTCCCCACCTTCTGTGGTTCATGAGCAGCTCTCGGTGCAGCTCCTGGTGACTCCGCGATGCCTTCACGGGGTTCAGCAGCTTCTTGGGCTTGATGAGCTCTGGGTTCCACTCTCTGTAATCAGGCCGGGACATTAGGCCCCCGATGTCTGCCCGCTCCCGCTGGATCTCAGAGTACATGGAGGCTGTAGAGATGGTCAGAGGAATCTGTTAGTACTGGGTGTCCCGGTCCCGCCCAGGCCTACCACAAGTAGTTGAAGGGGATTTCATGTCACAGGGTCCTTGGACACCTGCCTCCATGTAGACCTGGACAAGTCACTTGACTTCCTAAACGTAGATGGACTCTTCTGTAAAATGGAGATGATAATCGGACCGATGCCCAAGGTAATAAGGATCAGAGATGGTGTTTGTGAAAAACCCGGGGCAGAGAAGCGAGTGACACCAGGTCACAGCGTGTGGGTTGGCACCCACATGATCTTGGCCTGGTTACAAAAATCAGTTTCTTCCACCAGAAGAACTCTATTGGGGTTCCTGTGTTTCAATGAACTTGGTAACAGAAAAGGGAAGTGATATGCACTTGTTAAAGATACTTTGGGCACATGCAGTGATGGAATGAAAATGTTAATCCCTGTTGTGCAACTTCTCCATCCACAGGTCCAAGTCTTGTGGTTGCAGCATCTGAATTTTCACTTTCTGCACATCGAAGAGGAGAAGAGCCAGGGGCTGTGCCACTAATCACAAGGACACAGACGTCATCATAAATGCCAGCGTTTGCCTGCTGAGCTGGTGAGTGGCTTATTCACTTCTATCATAGCAGTTTGAAATGTGTCCATTTGCTTGAAATTCAGGTGGAATGGTTCTCAGCTCTACAAGATGGTTCATGTTTCCTTGGAATGTCCAACAGCAAGAGAGAAGGTGGAGGAGGAGAGAAAATAGTTCTGTGAATTTTTTAAAAAGGTTGTGATGTATTTGAGAGACAGAGCCCCCATCTGCCAACCCCTCTGCTGGTATCTGCAGTTTCTGGGGGAAGGTCCAGAGTTGGGGTCCAGTGGCTCCAATCCAGGCCCTCCCCACAGGTGCAGGACCGGAGCTGCCTGGGCCACTGCCAGTGCCTCCAGGGGCTGCTTCAGCAGGAAGCTGGAGAGGGGGCTTGAGCCCCAGACACTCTGACATGCAGTGGGAGCATCCCAGCCACAGGTAGACCACCCAGCCCAAGGCTTCCTTTCAAGAACAATTTCAAGTGGGTAGACATTGCCTGACCATGACCTCCTTCTGGGGAGTTCAGCGAAAGCTGATGTATTAGCTCTGTGCCCTATCCAGCCCAGCTGCGTGCTGTGCTAGGCACTGCAGGTGTCTGATCGGATATACACAAGGCTCTCCATCGATTGTCTGTTGATGTTAGACAACAAAGCTTTGGAGGTTTGGTCTTGGGGAAATGGTATTCTCCAAAACTTGTGGTCGCCATGTGGCTCCTAGAGGGAGCTGGTTCTCCCATCATGCACTGGGCTGCTGAGAGGCTCGCACTTCCAGCCTGGGCAACAGGACCACAGCTGCCTCCCGCCTGGAGCAGGCGTGCGGGGGGCACAGGAGTTCTCTGTGTCAACTAGCCAGGTGTGGTGGTCTGCGCGGTGACCTGGAGGTGGTCGCTGTGCTCAGGTGACACAAAGGCAGCTGTCTGAGGGGCTGTGACTTGTGAGGGGATGTGTTGGTCGCGGGGGCATCTGAGGGGAGGCTGCCTCACACACACGAACAGACATCTGGCATTTCTGTTGCTGCCCATGGCCGGGCTGTGAGCAGCTCAGAGTTGAGACCCCGTGCGTAAACTGGAAAAGTGTTACTTATTGTAAGCTATTGTGGATGCAGTCTGTTAAAGTGTCAAAGCATAAACACCTCCATGCTAATGTTTTCATGAATTTGCATTCTCAGACCCATTTCTAAAGTGGGAATTCCAAATAACTATCTTCTCCTTATCTCTTTATAATGTTTGTTTTCAGTTTATAGCCTTTTGAATTTTTTGGTACTTAGCAAGTAACCATGATACTGTTGGGTAGTTGCTTAAAAAGGGGTACTTGACAAAATAGATAGTTGGCTAACCAGAGCAACCTCCTTAAAAAATTAGTCTAATTTGCTTGAGAGGCAGAAATACAGAGAGAACTCCCATCCTCTGGTACGGCCCCACGTGCCTGCCTGCACCCTGCGCCAGGGACTCCGTCGTGTCTCCCATGCACACAGTAGGCACGCCAACACTTGCACACCTGCTCACTTCTAGGGTCTGCACTAGCAGGAAGATGCAATCAGAAGCAGAACTGGGACTTGAACCAGGCACTCCGATGTAGGATGTGGCCATCCCAAGTGGCACCTCTGCCCCAGATGCAGACCTAACTTTTTTTTTTCGAGGCGGGGGAGTGTGGGCATTTTCTTGCTCTGTGGGACCAAGTTATCTGGGAACCAAGGCCTCAAAAAGCACTGAATCACATTGGAATGGGTTTCTCCTCCTTTGCTGCCTGTTACTAAATTCCACCAACCCTTGAACAGAATATCCCTTAGCTGTGCCCTTTCCGTCCATGTCCTCAGTTCTTGTCCTATTGCTGTGACCGCACACTAAAGTACCGAAGCTGCCTGGTGATAAGGCAGAAAGCTGAAATAATTTGTGTAAGTTTAGGAAATGAGAAGGCAGAAGTCATCATTGCAAAGGATTAGCAGTATCGCCCAGATTTCAAAATGATTAGCAGAAAAGCATTTGGAACCCAAGATGGAATTCATGAGCAACGTGGCCAGATACAGAGTAAGCACAGGGGGCTGGTGTATGGCACAGTGAGCGAAGACATTGCCTGCAACAGCCACATCTTGATTTAGAGCCCTGGTTCGAGGTGGTTCTGATCCACCTTCCTTCTAATGCACCTGGGAAAGCAACAGAGCACCCGAGTGCCTGGGCCCCTGCCACCACGTGGGGGACCCAAGATAAACTTGCAGATTTCTGAGCTTGGCTGGTCCAGCCCTGACTTGTGAACCAGAGGGTGGGATATACATTTCTGTCTGTCCCCATCACTCTGTGTGTATAAATCAATCTTTAAAAAGGCAAGTCCCTAAAACCAGGAGCACCTACCTGACAGCGATGACCACGAAGAAGCTAACACTAAGAAAAAGGTCATGCACTTTGTAAATGTTCATTTGGTAGACCTTGAAGGGTCCTGCGGTACATCCAGGACATACAGAGGTGACCGGACAGGCAAGGGGCCTGTTCTTATGGAGTGGACACTCTACGAACCTAGCCAATGCATTGCTAAACACGAGCATAAAGCAGTTAGAAGCACCTGATAACAAATGGTGATGCACTTGATGAGGGAAGCAGGCTGCTCTGCAAGCGACTACTGAAGGACCTACCTTTGGCCAGCTGGGTGCAGGAGAGGGCCTTGCCGAGGTCTGACGATTGGAGGGGAGGGAGAAGCTGCTGGTGAGGGGTTGGGGTGGCTATGGACTGGCCAGTGTGACTCATGCACCTTGAACAAGCTGGGTCTGTTCGGGGCACACAGAGGCACTGTGTGCGGCCCAGGCATCCACGGTGCCCTGTGAGGGTGTCTGCTGTGAGGGTGGCCGGTGGGCCTGGGGTGTGTGGGGCGGGGAGAGCACGTCTCAGTGCTGAAAAGGTCATTCTGGCTGCTGTGTAGGGAATGTGGTCAGCAAGTTTGGGGAATTTTTATAACTTGAGTTTCATTCACTTCCAATGGGCAGACTCTGTGTCTATCCCGCTTCCCCGCCCCATTAAATTCCAGAAGAAAACCCTCTGATTGGCCTGGCTGAGATCCTTCTTCCATGGGTCACCAGGCACGGCCACGGGGTTGACTGCATCAGGTCCCATGCACACTGGCCTGCCAGGGTCACAAGGGGGGACCCTATGCAGTTTAAACCCGTCCTGTTGCCGTGACATTCTTTGCATCTCTCCAATGAGTGGCCTTTTGCTGAAGGTCCTGTGGATAACAGAGCCTGTCCTGGGTCAGACTGAAGCCAGGAGCCCAGAACTCCAAGCAGGGCTCCTATGTGGGTGGCAGGGACCCACACACTCAAGCACTGCCCCCAAGGGTGCCTGTTGGCAGGAAGCTGCAATCAGAAGCCGGAAGCTGGACCTACACGCAGGCTCTCTGATGCAGGATTTGGTGGTCTTCATCCCTGGGACAGATGCCTGCCCCTTTAGTGAGGCCTCGTGTAGGGAGGAGTGTCCCACAGGGCGTGGGACAACAGAGGCAGCTCTGCAAAGCACAGAGCCAGGCCCAAGGAGTTGGTGCTGTCCTGGGGGGCAGCTGAGCCTTCAGGGGCAGATGTCTGGGGTCCTTCCTAGAGGGGCTGGGGGTCCCTGAGAGGTTGAAGCCCCAGCACCTCTGGAGAAGTGGCTGCAGGAGGCGAGGTGGGCATCTCCCCAAGGAAAAGACAACAGACTCCAGGGGAGAGCTGGCCGAGGGGAGGATGTGGCTGTTGAACCTTCCAGAACGGCTCTGAGTTTTAGCTGTTTCCCTTCCTTAGCTTAGCAAGTTAGCAGCTGCCTTCTGGAGCTGCAGTCTGACAACTTCAGCTTTGGACCAAACTCCAGCTCCTTGGCTCACAGCCACACCCACTCCTCACTCACTAGCTGGGGCTGCTTTCCGGCTCAGAGCAGGGCTGAGGAGGAGGGAGAGCTGCTTCCGATCTGCTGTTTTCTGCTCTCTAAAGCAGGCCTTCTAGTAGAGCCGCTTTTCATAGGCTTTTGTAGAACAAATGAGGGGAGGCTTGCCAAGGCATTTGGCAAATACCTGGTACAGGGTTGAGATCTCAGTGCTGGCTGGCTGGCTGGCTGGCAGGGCTGCCACACTCGGCAAGGGAGGTTGTGCACTGCACAACTCCAAGCCTTGAATTCCTGTAGATTAAACCATGAAGGAATACCTGGTATTGCTGTTAACAGTTCCTATCAAAGAAATCTCTGTGTTAGTTCCGGACTGAACTTTCTCATTCTCCTTAAAAACCACATGGGTTAAATCAGTGGCTCTTAGCCTTGATTTCCATCTCGTCATCACCAGGGGAAATTTTAAAGACATCAGCCTCTGACCTTGATCCTGGGAATTCTGATTTAATTGGCTTTGGGGGCATCTTGGCATCAGGAGTGATAAAGGCTCCTTGGCATTTCTAGCCTCATCTGCCAAATCAGCCAGATTTG